CATGGGTTCGTGCACCAGTGGGGTCCCTCAGCCTGGCCTGCGGGGATCAGACTAAAATTGGCTCACGGACAATCCCTCGATCCCCCAGGGGTCCCAGAGTGGAAGAGGGCACCCTGCAAAGTTGCTGTCAATCAGCAGCCCCTGTATCAAGCGTCTGCCCCCTGGTGGTCAGTGCGTGTCATAGCTAGGTTGCTTAGCCGCTTATCTTAGCCTTTTTTATATTTATATATAGGTTTTTAGAGAGGAACATCGCTGTAAGAGTGGAACATGGATCCCTGTTGCCTCTTGCACACCCCCACCTGGGATTGAGCCCAAAACCTGGGCATGTGCCCTGACCACGAATCAAACTGGCAACCTTTTGGTGCACAGGACAATACCCAACCAAATAAGCCACACCAGCCAGGGCTGGTTGTATAATCCTTTCAGCTGCTAAGCCATGCTGCCAAAATCTTGTTTATCATCAAAGCTTAGAAATTAACAGTACTCTTGGTGATCTTTAACATGCACTTAGCATAGCACTGAGTTTTGGTAGTTAGGTTTAATTTAAGGAAGGACATTTAGAACCAAGTTTAAAGTAACTGCTTGAACTGATCCTCGGCTTAATTCTTAAGGATTGCTTTTCAAAAAAGTTCGTTAAGGCAGGAACTTATTTTCCATGGATGGTGTTAAGATATGTTCCTTCCCCTTCTTCCCAGGGTTTAGATGTAGACTCTCTGGTCATTGAGCACATTCAGGTGAACAAAGCTCCCAAGATGCGGCGTAGAACCTACAGAGCTCATGGGCGGATTAACCCATACATGAGCTCTCCCTGCCACATTGAGATGATCCTCACTGCAAAGGAGCAGATTGTTCCTAAACCAGAAGAGGAGGTTGCACAGAAGAAAAAGGTAAATTTCTTAGTCTTTGCTCAGTTTCAGTTGTGTATAGATGTGTGGTTGCTGTGATGACTAACTTAGGACACCTTTGGAATAACCATGAAAGGAAACTATTCTGAGCAACCAGCAACCTTGTATTTTATTTGTACTTTTGTGGATCTCATTTGTTTCCTGATTGATACTGAATAGTAACTTTGTACCATTCGGTACATCAGAACTGTGATTGTCTGCTGATAGTCCCTCCTACATGTCCATTGCCACTTCCAAAAATATCCCTCAGATCTGATAAGCCTATATTCAGTAAATGATGACAAGTCAGTGTTGTTTTGAGAATTGCCTCATACCATTGTAAAGTTTAAGGTATGCCACATGATGGCTTGATTTAAGTATACTGTGAAATGATTACCACAGTGGGTTCTCCTAGATAAAGTAAAAATAAGAAAAGGGAGGGGGAGGAGGGTATGGTTAAGAACTCTCATGGTTTCTCTTCCTATCAACTTTCCTATGTATCATACCGCATTGTTAGCTAGTCATTCAGTTGGGTAGGCCAGGAAACTGGGAGTGATTCTGAAATCTTCCCTTCACACCCAATAGATTTTTTGTATTGATATTGTCACTTAAATATCCTGTCATTGGAATCCTTAGCTGGTGTCACTGTCTTCAGTGAAAATCAATTTAAACTCCTTCCCTGATTAGTCATACCACATCTCTATGCCAAAGGACTCTTTCCTTTTATGTTTTTTTAAATATATTTTTATTGATTGCAGAGAGGAAGGGAGAGAGAAAGAGAAAGATAGAAACATCAATGAGAATCATTGATCCATTGCCTCCTGCACAACCCCCTACTGGGGATTGAGCTCACAAGCCATGCATGTGTCCTTGACTGGAATCAAACCTGGGACCCTTCAGTCTACAGACCAACCAGCTAGAGCCCTTTTATGTTGATGTTTCCAGTTCTTTCACTGAAGCTAAGACCTCTTTTTACTTTCACTGAAGCTAAGACCTCTTTTTAATAAGATGTGTGGATGTTTCTTCAGGAAATTTCACAGTCATTTTTATTTTCTTTCCCCAGATATCTCAGAAGAAACTGAAGAAACAAAAACTTATGGCCCGGGAGTAAATTCAGCATAAAATAAATCTAAGTAAAAAAGTAAAAGCAGAATGTTGGTTGTCTTTATTACTAAATATATTTCAAGTGATAAAACAAGTTTTCTGATTAGAACTTAAAAATAGATTATTCTGTTCTGTCATTAATTTGGGTCATAAACATGCTGTTTTGAAAGTCTTGCTGCTTTTTTGCATAGGATGGGATTAAAACATGGAGCTGTGAAATTTTTTTCCAGCCACTTCATTGAGATTTAACACCAGTTCACCACAGTGCAGTGGATCTTGGTATACTGTTATGAATCTATCACTAAAATCACTTTTAGGACATTGTAATCACCCCAGAGAGGAACCTTGGCAGTGGTTTAGCTGTTACTCCCAGCCCTAGGGAACTACTTAGCTATAGATAGGCCTGTTGACATCTCAAGAAACATCACAGGATGTGTGGCCCACTGGCTCTGGTTTTTGACAGTACTTTCAGGGTTCATCCATGTATTGTACTTGATGTATAATTTATTAAACATTTGGGTCTTAAGCTCTTGCAAATAGTGCTGCTGTGCACCTTTGTAGGTTTTTGGATGGGCATGCTCTAGTTTCTCTTGTGTATATGCCAAGAGTGTAATTGCCCAGTCATGGTAACAGCCTGACTTTACAATTGTGCCATTTACAGTACCCCTTGCAGAGGGTCCCGGTTTTCTCCACGTCTTCAACACTGACTTTGGGTGGAAGTGAAGTGGTATAGCCATTTCTCTTAAATAGCCAATTAAGGTTGACAATCCACCCTGCCCTTGAATGTAAGACCCTTACAACTACGGGAAAGGGTGGTTGTAGGCACAGCTGCATTTGAAAACAAGTGAAGTAACCGCCCCTGCGGTGGGGAGCCATTGGTACAGGCGTCATTTCTTGGATCAACGAATTGACTAGTATTCAGGAGGGCAGCGCCCCGGTGCGCCAGAGAGCCTGGGAAGCTCA